CGGATTCCTCGTGGTCTTATGTCAGTTGGCTTTATATATATATTCTGATTGCTGCTATCTGAGAGGCAAGGTATCATTCCTACATATTTTTAGTTTGCAAGTTGTTATCGAGTACTCATATATATATATAAATGTATGTATTGGTAGTTGGATTTTCTCCCAATTTTATGATTAGACCTCAAATTTTCATGAAATTTCGCATGGTCTTGCTTCCCAAACGGTAGATCTGACCTCCCCGATTAGGGAAGTTGACAGGAACTCCCAATTTGTAATTAATATCTCAGATTTCAAGGAGCTAAACAGACATGCTTTATTCAATTGAAAGGTTTGGAGGAGAGTTCTAAATTTTCGCGACCTGCACAGTTTCGAAGTCTGCCATCAGTATGGTTATAAGGAGACAAATTTTTACCTAAGTTTTCTATGCTAGTAAATAGGCGACAAATAGAATTATAAAAACCAGGCCGTATTACAGTAAACTTGAGAAAAAATAAACGGGCGGATCACAATTAATTAGAGTTTATGAAGTGCGAAATTCGATTTGGTACGAGTAATAACTTGAATTCTTGCCGCATATAATGCGAGCCGAAGTGCAATTTGTAGTGCTAAAGATAGCAGCACAGCCAAGGAGATGCATCAGATATCGATATAACATCGTCCTTTATGCATGTGTTGATGCTTGTACAGTGTTGATGTACAGTAAACATATTAAAAACCACATTGCACACCCTTACTAAGTAGGAGCAAAATGAAGAGGTGAAAAAAGAGGTAATAGGTGATTACCTTTGAACAGAAACTTGATATAATAAAAGCACAAAATTTGTGATAACAATTTAAAATTTTTGATTATATGAAACAACTGAAGAAAATATTTAAAAACACACATGTGAAATAAGTTGAAAAGGTAAAGCAGCGATTTGAAAGCAACCTCAAAGAATATAAGTATTACAATTGCAACCTGCCTGTGCTTGATAATGGAACTGATAGCTGAACCCTGCCGGTAAAAGGCTCCCGGAGATGTGCAAGATGCGATTTCTTGGAAGAGAAGAACAAGAGGCTACCGTCGCTCAGGCAAAGAAATGATCTTGCAAATAGGTGCCGAGCTCATGTCCATTTAGAGTGAAAGTGTTTTGTAAAGAGCTTTGAAGGTCGATCTCACCAGAAGAAGACGGCGGATTCCTCTTGTCCAGCTTCCAATTGCCTTTATTTCCACATTCTTACTGGTGCTGTTTCCGACTCCGGTTATTATTCCGGGAATCAGTTCAGAACTACATTTAAGCTAAAAAGTTAAGAAAATTCGAATCAGTGTTGTTGCTGTTCACTGAATCTACACAACAAAATTGCATATATGCGCTGATGTTCTTACAAATTTAGTGTGATTTGATAAATAAATTTTGAAGTAATCTTTGATTGAAAGGAACTCGTCTCATCTGATACCGAAGGACTGCCTTATTATGGCGGTCGTTGGAATTTGCGAAGAAGCCGCCAAGAATCCGCACTGAGCTGTCGTTTTTCATGTAACAGAAAAAAATATATTCACGACGGTGTACCGAGGGCGTATTCATACAAGCAGACAATCGCACATCTCAAACACTGATTCTTTGGTTTCCGCTGAGGCTAATTTGCGAATCCCTTACAACCAACTTTTCGTTAGATGATAGGTCGAGTTAATGGAAAATTTCAATTGCTCACTCATTCTGCCTAGCCTGTTCGGTTCGGGTTTAGTCTCTACATGGACTTTGAGGAGAAGAAGACGATTGAAGCTGATGCCAGTTGGCAAGAAGGAACATACTACCGTAGTCTATAAACCAAGTGCAACTGTGTATCGACAAGACTTTTATGGTGAAATACATTTCGATGATGGAGAGATTTTTTGTTCGGGTTTGATGCTCTAAAGTCTTACGGAGTAATTATGAGGTCCAGAGGATATCATCATTCAATTCAGCTTAAATTCCGACTTAGCTTTTGTCTATCATGTCATTTAACAGCCATTCTCATTTCTTATGAAAAAGCATTATGAAGAGATTCGTAGATCGATCTTCTCCAAACACGAGAGCTAATTTCCGTTGTCTTCCAGTCCTCTGGCCTTAATACTATGTTCAGGTTGGCACAGTCTACGTGACAGCCTTCCCCGTTTAGGGTGAAACCGGGTGTATGACGAAAACCATCATGGCTAGAATTAATTGTTTCAAAAGTTTCAAGTTAGCACCAAGTTAAGTAGACTATTCTACATGATATCACTAGTTGTACCTAAAAACTAAATTTGTTAATTCTCCTTCATATCAGTCAGGGTACTTGCACTTGCAATAGTGTTGTATTCACCCCATTTTACGTGAGGCTATGAAGAACTGGTAGATGAGTTTTCCCCCAATAAATCTTCTTCACATAGTGTTGACTTAAAACTTTTGCAAGAATAAATTCCAGCTCTGAGGTTTTCCGTCATATGACTGCGATTTCGTGGACTGCATCAACCCGAATGTCATACTAAGGCTAATTGACTGCAGCCCAACATGAATCAGCTATCGTCTTCCGATGGGATCAACTAACGAATCTCTTCATTATGCAGTTTCATATATATATATATATATAAACTGTTCAAAAGACTTTCCTATATCACTGCAGGTTTCGCACCTGTACGTGGATACCAAGGTAAATACACCCTCACACACACAAAGATACCAGCACATGCTGCTCGATGGACGTTTGGCTTGAGCTAACCAAATCTCTTTTTACCCCAGCAAACTTTATATATTCATTGTATATATACAGCATTTATGAATAAGCCAGCAAATATAGTGTTGGCATGAGCTCGTTTTTGTAACTTTATCTGCACAACATGGAGACCTTGTGGAATATACTTAGTCCTGTATCTTCTGCCATTGTATTCATGATGACTTCAGGTATCGGACCGTGGACATGAGAATATACCAAATTAACGGTTCGATGCTGAAAAGCACGAATGCTATGGTCTAGGACGCAGGGCTTGGTACGCTCCACAAGGTCTCTCTGTTGCCCCGACCAAGTTACGAAAACAAGGTCAAATCAACATTATAAACCAATATTTTTTCTTGGCTTATTAGCATGAATATGTTTGTAAGAATGAGAGCATTCTTTGACAATGTCCGTCCAGAATGGAAGGAGATTACCTTGAGGACAGAGTCCTCTCGAATGTTCCAGTAAGGTCAAACGACAATTAGCCACCGTCCTCTTTTGTTGGGGTCGAAATGGAACAGAGTCCAACAATAATGAAACAAGAGATTCATCGAAACCCATCTTTCCTCGCAAATACTCCCAGTTAAGAAGTTGTTTGACCTTGTTTTCGCATCTTGGTCATGG